TCATACGCAGCTGCCATCCGTGCGCAAGGAAGTTAGCACGAGATGCCGAAAACCCTTAGCAGGATGCAGCGCACCCTTCATGCGACTCGCCGAATATCTCACGGCGCTTCGCGCTTGGTGATGTGAGAGCCTGGTCCGGTGAGAACCCGGCGTGCTCCGTCCCGGCTTTGTAGGGATGCGAGGTCAATGGTCTAACGACTACGGCATGCACGAATATGAGTACCCCCCCCCCCCTCCCGAAACACCACGAGATGCAGCCCGCTTGTGCGCCCTGCTGGTAGCATGTCTCATGTGTTTACGCACGCCACGCGGGTGCATGCGCCCTTGCCCCAAAACGCGAATGGCGTAGGTGATACATAAACTTGTCAACATGATGCGGCGAGCAACAACGACTTCGTACACACGGCCACACGGCGGGAAAAAAAGGGATTGGTTGGTTGACCACCGAAGAACACGCCCATTAGTAAATATGAATGGTCTGTACCGTGTGGTTCTTCTTCGATGATCGCTCCTATCTCGCATCAAATTGTGGTGCGCATCGTACACAACAATCGGACCTCTGATATATACGCGTTCGCGTGCGCGAACAAAACATTTGTACGTGGAAATCGCAGCACACCTCCTATCGTTTATTTTCTCTCCCGACGCATCCTCCCAAAACGCAGCGGCATTGGACAAAAAAAATAACAACGCCGGAGAAATAAATCGAACCGATTCCTTGCCGTCGTCCCCCTTCTTTTCGCTGTATTCGTGAAGAACAGCCTTGACGGCTGCAGGTCTCCCATATCCACCGCAAGCACATCCAAGCAACTTTCCTGCTCCTATGGGGTGGTTTTATCCACCGCAAAACACAGCGGCAATAGTACTCAATCTCTCTTTGAGGGGGGGTTCTCAAGTAAATGGCACCACCCTCCCCCCCGGACGCCAAACACGCCTTCGCCAGGAAAACCATCGCGGTCACCGCCTACAAGCAGTCAACCTCCCAATCGGCCATACAATAGCCACGGGACAGGGATTCACTTGCCCCGACAACTGACTCACGACCGAGCAGAGAAAAAAAGTAGGAGACGTCTCTCCTGCTCCTCACGCCAGCAGGGGGGTGCTCGGCCTCAAAATCCTTGCCAGACGACGAAGAGATAGCAAATACTCGTCCACACGGCGCGGAGCGCCCGAAGGACCAATTGCAACGCATGTAGCTAGCCTCTGTACTCCCCATCGACCGACTGCATCCGGCAGCATACACACTCACGGCAACCACACACTCTTCTTCCGCTCGTCCACAACTTCCAGAGGACAGACAAGACAACAAGCACGACGGCAAGACGAACTGGTGGAGAAAACCTTTCTCTCTTGTTCTTCCGCTCACCGACAATTCTTCGAAAGGACAGACAACAAGCACGACGGGAAGACAAAGACGGTGGAAACAACCTTTCTCTCTTCTTCCTCTGACGACCTACCTAGAGACAAAAAATGAGACAGTCGGCCGAAGATCATGAACTAGACGTTTCAAAGGGAAACGACAGCTCATCTGCATGCTGTCGCGGGATGATGGCCACCGAGGGGGTGGGCGTGACGCAGAGCACGACAACCCCCCGGTCCCCCGTCCCCGCCCGAACCTCGCGCAACTGTACTCAAAACGATTCCCGAATTCCGTCAGACATGGCTGCTCCTGGCGCAGCAAAGCGCAAAAACAAAAAAAACTTGTCTTACGATATAGACTAAGCACCTCTCGGTCGTCTGGTTGCTGCGGCACTCATGACGACTTTTAGAACCAGCATCCCCTACGTACACTCCTTAATCCCAATCCCACCCCCGCTCTTCTTCCAAAAAGAACCAGCTTCTACGCAAGCAAGCTGATCCCCAACCTGTGATTCCACGGGGGCTCTTCGCCCCGCTGTCTGATTCCACGGGACATTCCACGGGACACCCACGCACTGTAAGAGGGGTCCAACCATCACCGCGGTAGCTATGATAATAAAATTTCGCTTCTGTGCACACAAGGCAGGCTTCCTCACCACGCCAAAGACAAATCGCCGATTTTTACAACATTCCGCCGCCGCACCCAATGCTGGATAGTACCCAAAGGAGAGCGGGGGGGGGGGGTACNGGGGGGTACCTTACCACGATTCGTGTACGACGATGGGCTCGTCTGTTGGCCAGGAAAAGAGAAAGACATGCACCTACGCTCGTGGGCGCAATGTTCTGAAAAACGTTTGCATACGGAGCATCATCACCAACAGCGTACGAACCAACAAAAGAGGATAGCGACTGTTTCGCTTTGAAAATCCGAAGCAAAAAAGGGAGTTACAAAATAACAGGTGTCGGCCTCTCCGCACCGAGCAGATGCTCCGTTATTGCCAAATCACATGATATCTACTCTGGCAGATTTAGCACTACAAATACACGTCTTAGTCCTGGAGGGACAAGAACAAGTACGCCCGAGAGGCGGGGGGTGGGGGGGGGGGGGGGGGGGGG